ACTAACTATTTATTTGATGTGTCTTTAAGTATTTAATTGACACACTTAGGCAACAGTGGAATATATGTTTGAAAATCTTTCCTACGCCTAATTCACAAGAGGAGCTTCAATTTATGTTGACATGCGCCTTGTTATTTATAATTAAATGCTTTTAAATATTACTATTTCAACTATATAATCGAGAGCTAACAGTCATGTCGCCCTAGTATGAAGCTTACTTTTAAATCAGTTCGCAAAGCCACAAAACTTGAACATGCATGTGTTTTATAGTCCCGGACTCTTATTGTTTAAGGCAGCTCGTGCGTTCATTGTTCAATGGTTTGTGCAGCTCGCCTGGCTCTGAGCATATATGACAGCTGCAGCTCTATAGTAATAGTAATAGTTGTTGTAGCCCTAAGTAAACCATAAGAATGCACCAACAGCACGCATAGTTGGGGTCACATAAACCCATTTAACAGACACTTTCGCTTTTGTCGCCCCAACTCAATGCAGTTCGATTCAGCTCGATTCAGTTCTTTTCGCTTCTGTTATTATTGCTCAATGAAAAACGACAAGGATTTAGTCTATATATATATACATATATATATATATAGATGTGTGTGTGTATGTGTATTTGTAGCTTGCTCTCTTGCTCGAGCTGTGTCTTTTGTTGGTCTTTAGTCTGATTGTCTTGGGCGGCGTGTGTCCATCGCGTGCTCAACAACACTTGACAGCGTGGCAAGTGCAAGTGCAGCATTGCCAAAGGAGTTGCCGGATATGTATGCAGAGGGGCAGTCGGGGTGTGTGTGCGGGGCAAATTGCACTGCTTCTGCTATCCGCTGTGCTGTGCGAGCTAACTTTAAAGTGGATTTCCGTTGGATTTGTTGTGGTTGCGTGTCGCTGGCATAGCTCCACTATCGACTGGCTGGCCTGCATCGAGCTCTGGCAGTGACGGGGCCAACGCAATGCTTTTATGTCTTCCGGCCAACATAAACACTTGAGTTGTTGTTGCTGCTGCCGTCGAATGTCAAAAGAAGCGCAGGGCAAAGCAAAGTTTCGCTGACAGTCATAGCTGCAGCAGCAGCAAAAAAAAGAAAGCCAAAGCACTGTGACAAATGTCCTCAACTATGTGACTGTGTGTGTGCGCGTGTGTGCGTGTGTGTATAGGTAAAAGTTGGTGTCTGGCATGGCACAACTTTAGCAACTCTTACAGCTAAACGCCTTGCAATTGCTAAGCGTCTGTCAATGCAGCTTGTCTCTGCCTGCCCCTAGCACCTGTTTTACTCGCATTCAACTGCGTGTAATGTCTGCTTGCTTGTGTATATATGTGTGTGTGTGTGTGTGTTGCCATTACTGCGTTTATTGGCTTAAAGTGTTTGACAATTCATTAAGTGGCATGCTTGCCATTTGGAGTTTGCCATTTGCTTCTTGTCTTGAGCTGCTTACAGGCGCGTAAATTGCATTGTCGCCATTTGCCATGGGGGATCAAACGGCTAAGTAGAACAGGACACGTTAATTTGTTGGCTTAAATGGGCTATATTCGATTCGTCGAGTAAGTGTCAACAAATCGCTGGCCATTAAAATTGCCTTTGCATAAGCACTTCGCACAAGCCCGCCATCTTGCAGTGTTATAGCAAGCAGCATTTGTCTGCGATTGACACTTGAGTGGATTATTTATTGGTGCTGCCTGAAAGTATGCCACAATAAAATTGGAATCTGTTTTGCCACAACAAACTTTAACTTTAATTAAATAGCTGCCTTCATAGAAACTGAATTTTCATATATCCCAGCCAAATATAATTCAGTTCATTTTTAAGTCACTTTTACGTATTGCCTCCAGAGCAAAAACTGACCTTTATAGTAATAAATAAATTTTAAATAAATATATATAATATAATATGTCCCTATATATTCTTACAGTTTCACCCTGAGCGCATCAATTCGTATTTATCCTTTAAATTAGCTTCGTTAAAAAAATAAAAAAAACATTTATTCAGATTTATTTTTACATAGACAGTTGCAGCTTCAGAAATATTAAGGTACAATGTTTCTAAGCTGCTTCCAACTAGAGAATATCACACATTTTAAAGCTTGAAAGTACGGCCGTAAATTAAAGTAGTAAAAACAATTTAAAAGCAAAACAAGTTTGCTCTGCTCCTCAGATTCATTCATTTTGTTTCTTTATTATCTTGTGTTTGGCAATTAAAATAAATAAATGTCGACATATCTTTGCAGATTTCCAAAGGACTTTATCGATCTGCATGCAGGAATTATGGGCTTTTCTACACTTGAGACTTTCTGATTTCCATGGCCAGCTTATACGCTGGCACGTCTACAGCTCCAGTGGCGAAAGTGACCAAGAGTAATCGGCAGGGCAAGACGATGCACGTCAGTACGAGAACCAAGAAAAAGTAGCCCTTGGCCTTAGCATAACTGTTAGAAAGTAAGTTGTCTAATATGTGTTGTGTGTGTTTATCTCTTAAACAAAATATATATATGTATATATATATATATAAAGAACACAAACAACTAGTGTTTATGTTAATGTGAATTAATAAAATATTCAAAATAAAAAACGTTTTGTTTTAATACCAAGGGTTTTTTGCGACACAGTCATGGCACTGGACCTCCACAAGCATTGCATACTTTTGCGATGTGTACATAATTCGCTTGAGCCTATTATAGTAGCTTTTCTACAGCATACTTTTGGGCCGCACATAAAAATAAACCATTCACAATTTACACATTGCAGAAAATTTGAATGAATATTAAAATGGAAATAACTCGGCTAAATACAGTCCGACTTAGGAATGATATGCCTCTTTCTACTCGTACGGATCCCGACCATCGATTGCCACCCAAAAATCAGCATTCCAAGAGATCACCCAAAATGACCAAAAATACAGTGTAACCATCACGTTTTTTTCGAAAAATGACTTTTTTCCGAAATCGTAAAAGGTGGAAGGCATTCGATTCTATAGACCTCCGCTAGTAACTCCTCCCAATTTGACCGCAATCGGGCTTTATTTGGCCGAGATATGGCCATTTAAAGTTTTCGAAAAAATATCTTCACACGTCCGCGGGAGATATGACGTTTCAAAACGACATAATTTCGCCATGATCAACCATCACGTTTTTTTCGAAAAATGACTTTTTTCTGAAACCGAAAAAGGTGGATGGCATTCGATTCTATAGACCTCCACGAGTAACCCCTCCCAATCTGCCCTCTATCGGGCTTTATTTGGCCGAGATATGACCATTTAAAGTTTTCGAAAAAATATCTTCACACGTCCGCGGGAGATATGACGTTTCAAAACGACATAATTTCGCCATGATCAACCATCCATGTTTTCGAAAAATGACATTTTTCCAAAATCGTAAAACGTTGATGGCATTCGATTCTATAGATCTCCGCGAGTAACCCCTCCCAATCTGACCGCAATCGGGCTTTATTTGGCCGAGATATGGCCACTTAAAGTTTTCCAAAAAAATCCGTGTGGTTGTGCACAAAGAAGTAAAGTAAAGCATTGCATACTTTCGAGCTGCTCACATAATACCTATTCACAATAACATATTGCAGCAAAATTTGATTGAATATTAAAATGGAAATAACTCGGCTAAATACAGTCCGATTTAGGAATGATATACCTCTTTCTACTCGTACGGATCCCGACCATCGATTGCTACCCAAAAATCCACATTCTAAGAGATTACCCAAAATGACCTAAAATACAGTGTAACCATCACGTTTTTTTCGAAAAATGACTTTTTTCTGAAACCGAAAAAGGTGGATGGCATTCGATTCTATAGACCTCCACGAGTAACCCCTCCCAATCTGCCCTCTATCGGGCTTTATTTGGCCGAGATATGACCATTTAAAGTTTTCGAAAAAATATCTTCACACGTCCGCGGGAGATATGACGTTTCAAAACGACATAATTTCGCCATGATCAACCATCACGTTGTTTTCGAAAAATGACATTTTTTCAAAATCGTAAAACGTTGATGGCATTCGATTCTATAGATCTCCGCGAGTAACCCCTCCCAATCTGACCGCAATCGGGCTTTATTTGGCCGAGATATGGCCACTTAAAGTATTCCAAAAAAATCCGTGTGGTTGTGCACAAAGAAGTAAAGTAAAGCATTGCATACTTTCGAGCTGCTCACATAATACCTATTCACAATAACATATTGCAGCAAAATTTGATTGAATATTAAAATGGAAATAACTCGGCTAAATACAGTCCGATTTAGGAATGATATACCTCTTTCTACTCGTACGGATCCCGACCATCGATTGCTACCCAAAAATCCACATTCTAAGAGATTACCCAAAATGACCTAAAATACAGTGTAACCATCACGTTTTTTTCGAAAAATGACTTTTTTCTGAAACCGAAAAAGGTGGATGGCATTCGATTCTATAGACCTCCACGAGTAACCCCTCCCAATCTGCCCTCTATCGGGCTTTATTTGGCCGAGATATGACCATTTAAAGTTTTCGAAAAAATATCTTCACACGTCCGCGGGAGATATGACGTTTCAAAACGACATAATTTCGCCATGATCAACCATCACGTTGTTTTCGAAAAATGACATTTTTTCAAAATCGTAAAACGTTGATGGCATTCGATTCTATAGACCTCCGCGAGTAACCCCTCCCAATCTGACCACAATCGGGCTTTATTTGGCCGAGATATGGCCACTTAAAGTTTTCCAAAAACATGCGTGTGGTTGTGCACATAGAAGTAAAGGAAAGCATTGCATACTTTTGCGATGTGCACATAATTCGCTTGAGCCTATTAGAGTAGCTGCTCTACTGCATACTTTTGGGCGGCGCATAATAATAAACCATTCACAATATACACATTGCAGCAACATGCAGCCAATTCGGACTCATTTTCAAATATGCAAAATTATAAAATTGAACTACCTTCGAAAGTGATTTTATTTTATTATATAATATAAATTAAATTATTATTATAAATATAAATATAATAGGAATTTGGATGTTTACCAGGACTACATCTATGGTATGGCGGCATAACCAAGGATATGTGGGCCTGGCAGTATATCTATGATATTGTATAGCCAAGGATCATCCAAATGCGCGGCTAATTTGGCTGTAAAATATAAAAAAGACAATTTTTATTATATAATTAATTAAACCTAAAATTACAATACACCGGGTAATAAAGTTCGATAGATAGAGCTGTTCCCTGTGATTACAGCACAGTGAATCCATCGAAAATCTGCATTGATATAAAAGAGTTTGAGCCGCCTTTTTGTTGACATTTATTTACATTAATTGCCAAGTATGCAGGCACATTTTGGTTAATTGTGCACAGTTTGGTTTGGATATTATATTGATTCAAGCAATTGAGAGTCAATTTAGTTGACTGCTGCTAACATTCGCTTGGGCTCCTTTTGTTTAGCTGCTGATATCGCTTTGGGAAAGCTTAGATATTTTATGTCCATGTATGACAGTCCCTGTATTTCAGTGGTATTTTTATTACACACTAAAGGTCGATCAAGACAGGACTGCAACTTGCCATAGTTTGCGGAGCTCATAAAAAATATGTGACAAATAGTTGCGAGTTTTTATTTTGCATGTTAACATGCCAAATATCTAATACTCTAGCATGGAGTACTATGCTTTTGCCATGAAATATGTAGAGCACCGGTGAAGGCATAAAGTAAGCTAAATATTAGTCTAAAAAAGTGATTGCATGCAAAATCCGTTTGTTTTTCCTCTTTTGTTTGTTTTCAAAGTGAACTACACAAGATTTGTTTACCCTAGTGCTTAAAGGCTTCGGCTTGGGATCAGCCGACTATATTATGCGGCTAAGCAACAATTAATTTTGCATTTTCTGCAAGTGTAGTACAATTTCGACACGTTGAATTTAACTGGATACGTTGCCGGCTGCCCACAAAATCTGCCCGAGAGCAGCAAAAATTCCACAGCACACACCTATACACACACACACACACACACACACACACACACACACACACGGAGACACACGTACCAAACTATAAAATATATAATAATAAACCAAATTTGTTGAGCAAGTTTAAGTGAAAATGTTAAGAGTAAAGTTTTTGCTGCTGAAATAAAGACAAACATTGTTATCACCTACAAAACAGAGAAACAGAGCGAAACAGCAGCAACAACAACAATGAGAGTTGCAGAGCAACAAGCAGGCCATCAAGGAGGCCATCAAGAAGGCTTAGGGGCAGGGAGGGGGATGGTGGGGAGGCTGCCTTTGCCTTCGCCGCTGGCGTTGGCGTTGGAGACGTGCAAATAAGTTGAGCAACAGAGCGCAGCAAAAGGCAAAATATTTATACAAATAGGTTATGCAAACAAACTTAGACAAAGTCACACACACGCACACACACACGTACACACTGTGAGATAAAGCACAAGAAGAAGACACGCACATCGGTTAGAGGGGAGGGGCATCATGACACGACATGAGGTACCCTTACTGGCGCCAGACGCTGCAGGACATAATGAAGTTTGAGCTTGAGACTCAATGAAATGTCAACAGAAATGCTGCCTGACGCTGCACGAACAGGGCTGGGGCTGCAGATAAGGGGCGGCGGCAGTGGGCGTGGCAGCAACTATGACAGTAGCATGGCTTCAATTGCTGCTGTGTTGTGTATACAGAAAAGAAAAGAAAAAAGTAAATAAAAAGCAAAAAGAACACGCAATCGAGGCGGATTGCATTACAAACTGCAACAGCAGCATCAGTTGCAACAGCTGCGCCATTCCGGCGTTTTTCCACAAATTTAGCTTTTATCATTTAATTACAATAAATTAATTATGACTAGTTGGCACAGCGAGCCCCGCAAAAGCCAAAAAACAACCCCGATAATACGCCCAACTCCAGCTGAAGCCCCAAAGCGATTCCGATGTGCGGGCGTTGAGTGTCGATTGCATGGTAAATGCAAAGCTCCAAGGATATGTCTATGAATACTTTATACATCTATATATTTATATATGTATGTGTGTGTGTGTGTGTGAGTGTGTGTATGCACATGCACATAAAACACGCAGCCGCAAAACATATTAAATTTATTATCAATAAATTTTCATTAGCTTCGTGTAGCTGTTAGACTAGACCTATGTCGCGTTGTGTGTTCCTCTGTGTGGGTGTGTGTGTGTGTCGGTGTGTGCCTGAGGGTGTGTGTGTGTGTGGATATCGCACACCAACTATAACGAGCTCTGTGGGTCGTGGCCAGTTGACATAATTTACAATTTTAGTCATAAAAACACACACACACACACACACAGACACATACTCATGTTCCGGATAAACTGATGCGCCATCAGCATAGTTCACACACACACAAACACACTCACACAGTCGGGCTCTAAACTTGGCCTTTAGCTATGCCAAAGTTATCTAGAACCACATCAACGGTTAAGCCACAGCTTGGCTGGCGGGCTGCAAAGGGGAACCAGTGGGTGTGGCGGTGTGTGGGAGGTGTCTAGCGTGTGTGTGTGTGTGTGTGCCATTTTAGAGGCAATGCCCCACATTAGCCCGCCCCCATCCCCGCCCAAGGTATTTGTGATTGTGTTGCTGCAAATTTGTTATGTAGTTTGATGTAAACGCAGCGCTACTTCCACAGCAGCAAAAAAAAAAAGTGTGTGAAATAAATGTAAAGTGCATATTATTTATCAAGTTAGTGGACTATTTTTTACACAAACATAAAATATGCATAAGATTAGAGTGAAAATCCTCTCAAGTAGGTAAATCGTAGGGCAAACATTGTGATTTGGAGCTTAGCCGAGCTCGTGCTTACTTTTAAGCCAGACTTAAGTACTCCAGCCATAATTTAAAAATACATTTTTGCTAGTTAATATATTTTAAGAAGTCTAAAATGGCTTATATGTGAGTTTGTTACTCAATATGCTTTCACAACACTGTCTGCCGCATTTATGTAAACGCTCTGTTAGCCGCTTACAGCAAACGCTGCTCTTATGTTATGCGCTCTAACAGCCAACACTTTATCATTCGCAGCGGTAATCAAATGAGGTATCAACTGTTTATTGAATAAAACTGTAAAATTGTTATACTGTAAACTGAAACCTTGAAGCTCGTAATATATACATATGTATATACGTACTTTTTTTATATGTTTACATTTTGTACTGTTGCTTGGGGATCAGCGTCAGCAGCAGCAGCATCATTGGCATTTCTATCGTCAGATGCAGAGGCAGCAAAAGCAACAACAACAGCAACAACAACAACAACAACTTCGTCAACAGCAGCGACGACGCCATTTTATTTTCTCTTTGTGTTATGCGCTGTCATTCAACCTTGTTGTTGCTGTTGTTGAAGCCACTGTAGTTGCTGTTGTTGTTGTATTATAATGCCAACTCATATTGCGCTCGTTATCCTTTTGTGTGTCGTGCAACGGAATTGACCCTTTTTGCTGCGTGACATGGAAACAGGCAGCAGGCAGCAGCAGCAGCAGCCGCAGCAGCAGCAGCAGCGGGTTAAGAGTGTGCCACACCAGAGACCCACCCGCGCCGCCCCCCTCGCTGACGCACATAGTCCCTGGCCAGGTAGAAATGAAACGCGACAATGCTAAAGTATCAAAAGTGATGGATGACAGGTTAATATGCGGCGACATTTTCATGCTGATGCTGATAAAATTTACGTTTTTGCATGCGGGGCTGCCAACAATTGGGACTGCCAACTCGCCAGATCAGGGAGCGGGGGATGCGACAACTGTGTTTGGTGACATTTTCAATGCACAACAGACAAGTTTAATTTCGCAACGTGCACAACAAATTAAGCGGAACAGCGGCAGAGTGGGAGGCGGGGGGGGGGGGGGGGGGGGAGGGACAGAGAGAGCGAGAGAGAAAGTGGATTAAAAGAGCGAAAGCGAGACAATTACATTAAAGTAAAGCTGCTGTTTAATTGCTGGCAACAGCAGGCTTCATTAGCAGAGCGCTGCTAAATAACAGTCAACAATAACAGAGTGAGGTAGAGCGAAAGAGAGAGAGAGAGAGAGTGAGAGTGGGGGGAGAGGGGAGGCTCATCCGAATGCTGTTTGAATTGCGCTTGAAAGTGGGCAACTGCAATGGCGATGGCTGACTGACTGCCAGGATATCTAGTTGACGCTTTGCACAGCTGCAGGCAAGGGTTAAGGTGTGTGTGTATGTGTGTGTGTGTGTGTGGCAGTCATTTGAATGCTTTGGAAAAACTTCCGCTCCATTAGTCTGTCAGTTTCCGGCAACGTTTTCCTAGCACAATTTACGCAAATTGATGTCATCAACAGGGGCCAGCCCACAGCTCGTATTTGTATTCGCATTCACATTCACAATCGCATTTGTGAGTGCGAGTGTGAGTGTGCGTATGCGTAACTCGGTAAATGAAGTGAATGAATGAGTGAATAAGCGCATGTTGCGCCGCGCGCCGGATGGCTAGACATTTCTTCTACTTTTTTTTTGGGGTCAATGCGGGGGCTTAGCGCGACGCCTGTCCCCAAACCCAGAAGTGTTGACACACACAAGCTGTGCAGGGGTCGCGGAGGGGAGGGGATGGGTGAGGGTTGAGATGCTTGTGCAATGGCGGGTTAGGGGCTGCCGCTGTCGCTGTCAGACTGTGGCCTGTGGCGCTGGCTTCCGCTTGAAATGCATTTTGCTCATTTGAACGCTTGCCCCTGGCCAGCGAAAGCCGCCTGGCAGCTTCCCTATTTATATATGACGAGCCATTTGAACATTATGCGCAGGCTGAGTGCGTCAGTTGAATCTAATGAAAACAGCTTTATAGTCAATGCTGTGGGGCAACCAAATGTGCAACATCCAGCGCCAGAGACTCAAGAGATGAGATTGTGCCGCGCGGCAGCTGGCAGTCAGCAAAACTTTAGCAGCGCAAACAAACAAGCTAACAAACAAACAAACAAACAGACAGACAAACAGACAGACAGACAGACAGACAAAGAGACAGGCAGCGAAAAACTCAACTCAACTCAACTTAACTCTCAACGCTCAACAGGACTTCAAGTGAGTTTCGAAAGTCAAGTGCGTGTCGCTGTTGGCAGCTCCTGAAGATTCCTTTGTCTAGCTGCCAGCATGTGTGTTAGTTTATAAATATTTGCCTTGCAA